TTATCGTACTATGCACTTACTCAAAAGTCCAACTTCGAAGAGACACGCAACGAATTGACCATTTTGGAAGAAGTGGTTTGAGCTGGACTAACAAGTTACAGATCTTTTTTAGGTGCAATGGTTTGTAATAAGAAATAAATAAAATCAGTTGGGTAGGCAGTGCCTTGACTTTTTCGAGTCCGATACTCCGAAACCAGGCGATTTTTTATGAGGACACTGAAAAAATATTCGCCCAAAAATTTTGAAGAGATTCTTTGTGTATAAAGAGATGAAAGAAAAGGATGTAACTACAGGAATACATCAGAAAAGAATACATACAAAATCAAGTTCACGTTTAACGTCACTATGAAGGTGAATAGCAGAAAAAAAATTACACAGGAAATAAGCACATTACCAGAAGGCTGCAGCGATGAATGAGGTTTTTAACCAAATTTGGGACAACGAACATCAGAGGCGTATCAATCCATGTAGTGTACCAGCTATCAAGGGGTTCACTGCAATTGGCCTCGTGCTATGTTGCCCCATCCGTGAATCCTTCAGGACAGGTGAAGACTACAATGGACTCACCGGGAGCGGGGTGTGCGCCATTCCATCCATCGAAAGATACTAGAACATTCTTTATCATTCGGTACTCCATCAGTTAGAATTATACTGAAAAGACACTGGATAAAATATTATGGTGTAGGGAAGTACATGTTTTTCATTTCGACAAGTGATGCGCCTCGTCTCATACATCCCACACGATTAATCGTGTCATGAGAATGTAAAAAATGCTGCGTGATTAGGTGGAAGTGAGAACCCGTACTTATTGAACTACAAATGCGACTTTTGAAGTGAATGAATTAGGAATGATATGACGGCAGCCAGAAGGAGCTGACTGATTCCATATCGTTTTAAAACGGAAACATGTATACGATTATTGGAAAATGAAATGTTTCGAAAATGGTGCTCGTATTTTGAATTTCTAAGTTTTTCCCTATTGCAAGTTATGTTTTCCAGACAAATGTTATGCTTTTCTTGAAAAGCATTGAAACCCATTATGCAAAATGCCTAATAAAATGTTGGTTTTTATTGAAGGATAAAGATCTCTGATCATGAAAATGAATTGCTATGAGTAGCATAATATTTATTTCAAGAAAAATGAACGAACACTTTCGCTGCTGGTGATGTAAATGTGCATCAGATGTTAGTTTTGCATAGCGCCAATGAAGCCAATGCTCGTCGTCGGCGCACTGTTGTTTCCACGCTTTCACTGTAAATTCTGCTATTTTATAGAAGAAATACGTGTTCGATTTTCATACAATTTGTCCTGAGTCGCATTTCCGGTATTAACACTGCCTTTTTAATTCAAAGTTTGGGGAAACACAAATGACGCAAGTATACTTCACTCGGCAAATCCTTATGTATTCATATTATACCGACAATGACGCTCATACCCGTCACCCTTCAATCTCGTAAGATTCGATTACTATTGCACTAAGGTGGTTTTTTGTTCATGTTGGGGATTTGTTGAAAATTATCTTTCGGCGCATTAGTCGAGGATGCGATTTTCCGTAGGCAGTGAACGTTATTTGAATGTTTTATAATATAAAACATTTAATAACCTCTTTCCGTCTCCGTTTCAACAACCACAAGAGTAGTGTTCGACAGGGTATTTCCAACTTATCAGTGGCGTAACATCTCAGTGAAGCATCTCGCTCCATTGATGACATGATGATCGATATCTTTGCTGGAGACCTCATGGATACTAAACAAAGAAGGCTGGAATAACTCAAGAGAATCATCAAATGGAGAACCCACACATTGGGGATGAACAAGGACATCTCTTTCTTAACCCACTACATCTTTCAATTCCTACGTTAAGAGTCAAAAATGTACCTCATGAGCCTACTTCCCCTTGAGAAAGATATAAAAATGCCGAAATGTCGGGGAATGAACATTTAATTCCATGCTGTTTTGAGTTGGTCATTTCGTGCTCATCAACAAACATCTGTATAAATATAAATTCCAGGAAAGGATTCAAATACCTTTTTCCATGGTGAACAGAATCATAGGAGCGGAAGGGTGATGTCTTCAAAGGCAGAAGGGAAAAGATGATCGCTTAGGTTCTCCTAAAAGAGGCTATCTCTTCCGATATTCCATTGTATATCGTTTCTACATGCAACCTCACGTGAGCGAGAAGAAACAATCGGGAAAAGGTTCGTGGAAAGGTGGAATAGCTATGGATTTTTCCCTCGAAGGGGAACCTTGGAGAAATCAGCATAGCTTCGCATCGGACCGAGATGAAACGCAGAAAGCATTTCATTCTGTTTGTCCTGTGACGCCAGAGAAAGTCAACAGTAAGGCAGGTTTTCGGTGGCTTTTGATTGATGATGGTCCCCTATGTCCGACAGTAATACGAACGTGTAGTCCACCAAGAAATATTCACGTTTTCTTCAGTTTGTAATTATAAAATTAACTGAGCTTCATTAATTACATCACCTTAGGCCAGGACGAAATAAAAATAAAACGGGATGAGGGCATCAATTGGGCCAAAAACACCGGTGCGGTAATGGAAACGTTTTTCATTTCTAAATTTACTTTGGTTCTACACGAAATCCCGTCCTAGCTTTCCAAACGCTATCAATTATAAATATCCATATTTTAATTATTTCTCTTTTCTAGGCCCTTTGATAGGTGCTTAGAAACCCCTGAGTTTGTAGGTTTGGCATCTCGATAGCTAATCATTGACGCATTAATGGGGCAGTCTTGGGAGAGAGGCAATTGCTATAGAAAATGGGAGGATCTGAACCCTCTCACCCACGAAAGATGACACTGGGAACATGGGATGTTCTCCTGCTTCATATACCATGTATATCTCTCACATTTCAGGAAATATTATTTTTCGAGTTCCATACACAACATTTCTACTAAAAGTGAAAAATCACCAATTGCCCAACATTACTAACGTTATTCTGGCAATTACTTCGCAAATCCATATGTAACCTGAAGGCACTTAGGGTAAGTGGGAGCATTGAAACAGATACTTCAAATGAGACGTAATTTTCTGACATCGTAGAGAGCCGTCCATAGCGAGTATGTGCAGCTCTCGTTAGCTATGAAGCTAATACGATATATGGAAGAAACTCCCCTTTTACCGCAGGAGCTCCGAACCAAGTTTCACTTTCATGAAAACGCTCTATCGAATTTCAGCAAACAATATTTTAAAAAAAGCATGTTGATTCATGATGGCATCTCGTGTTGCTCGGGGTATTGAATTATTGAACAAAAGGAACACGATCCATGGAACCATACGAGTGAAACTTTTTTGTGAGAACATTTTATTATTATTCAACCTTCCATTGCCTCAAGCGGCATTTTTCGGATTTTCACTGCATTTTAGTGCTTCTCAATCCCAAACAGGATGAGGATGCACAGAAAGTAGCTAAGGACTTCTTCGTGGGAAATCCAGACCAAGTGGCCAGACCAAGTGGACATCATAAGGGCGCTCCGAATCGGGAAACCGAACTCAGCTAACCACAGAGCCCTTTTTGTGGAGCTAGGACGAGAGCACGACAAGGAAAATATATTGGCATCAGCCCGAAGTAGGACAGTTGAAGAGAAGAAGAAAACATGGGTAACAGAGGATATGCCGAGAAGGGTCCGTGAAGACAGGAAAAAACTCATCCCCGTCCTTATTGAGGCTAGATCACAAGGAAGAAAAGCTAGGATGGTGGGAAGCAAGTTGTATGTGGATGGTGTCTAGTAACAGAGGATATGCCGAGAAGGGTCCGTGAAGACAGGAAAAAACTCATCCCCGTCCTTATTGAGGCTAGATCACAAGGAAGAAAAGCTAGGATGGTGGGAAGCAAGTTGTATGTGGATGGTGTCTAGCACAAAGTGAAAGACGGACGGATCGGGACAGAAGGAGAAGAGGTAGGTAGCAAGACCCAAATTGCCATCGATCTTTAAAAAGGGCAAAAGATCGGGGAAGACGACACACCAAGAGAAGAAAAAAGACGAAAAGCCACAGAAGACAGACATCAGGCAGTATTATTCACCCAAGCGGACTCGTTCTAGAATGAAGGACCAAGAAGGGGGCGAAAGTAGTGGATTAGAGGAGGAGGAAGCCCAAAGCCAAGAATAGGATTTACTCAGCACTTCACTCCTTTGTAGATTGATTGCAGTGAATATATTTTTCTGGAATATTGAAGGTCAATCTGGGAAATGACAGAAGAACTTTTACAGGAACTAAAAAAGTATGATGTAGTTGCCCTAGTAGAGACTTGGCGAACAGTGTAAGATGTGGATACAATAAATGGTTTTGAGAAATATGAAAGACTCGGAAAGAAAAAGATAGCAACAGGAAGAGGAAGAGTGAAAAATGTGCAATTCGTATTAGGCTGTACATATGTTCCACCCCCAAGCTCTGAGTACGCGGACGCCAATCCATTTAGGAACTTGGACAAGCGCGTAAAGGCTATTGAAGAAGAATTCCCTGGTTGTGGACTGCTCCTGCTGGGTGACTTCAATGAAAGGGTGGGCTCACTAGAAGAAATGGACCCTATCTGTGGGAAAGACGAGGACGGAGCATCCATGGAGACCCTCCCTAAAAGACTCAGTAGAGACGCAACCCTTGATACACGAGGTAGACAATTGATGGAGTTCCTGAAAGGAAACGGCCTCTTAATCATGATTAGAAGAAAAGAGGAACATGGAATTGCCCGATATACATGTGTAACTGCGAACGGAGCGAGCGTGGTAGATGTAGCGATAGGAAACTTGGCGATATGGGATGCTATGAAGACCCTCCAGGTAGCTGAAGAAGCAGGAGCATCAGTTCATTTTCCTGTACTTGTGAACTTGTCCTACTTTGAATCAGAGTCAAGATGCCACCAGAAGGAGCTAGGCCTGCTATATCCCCTGAAAAGATTCCGATGGATGAAGGGAAAAAGAATATGATCTCCAAATTTCAGTTTGGAAAGGAGGCTGGAGACTCCAAGAAACGAATCTGGGATACATTAGGGGAGGGGAACGAACTGGCCGCCCTGGAGCAATTCTATGACTATCTCTACCGACTCTTCGCTGGTATGAAGATTCACGAGGAGGGAGGAAGAGTACTCAAAAGAGAAAGACTCAAGGTAGACCTGATGAGAAAAAGGACGGCAATGAGGAAAGCCCTTAGAAGATATCGGCAGGTGGACTCAGATGTGACCAGGAAGGACTACGTGACGGCGAAGAAAGTATATCAAGAAGCTTTGAAACTGAAAAAAGAGAGGGAAAGAGAGAAAAGAGAGTTAGAGTTACGCGAAGCAATGAAAAAAGGAAATGAGAAAAATCTCTGGAGACTAGTGAAACTCTCTTCTAATAAGGGCCTATCTCTGGGCTGCATGAGAATCCCACCCTTGTCTCAGCTGCAGGAACACTTTTCCCAGACATTCTGTTTGGACTCAACAATTATTATGGAGCAACTTGTAAATGATATCTCAGCAGAAGGGAATGTGATGCTTGACGAAGAAATCCGGCAAGCAGAAGTGAAAAAAACCGTTCTGCAGATGAAAGCAGGCAAAGCTGCAGGCGACGATGGCCTCCCTGCAGATATGTATCGAATACTTCAAGAAGAAGACTTGAAGATCATTGCCCAGATATTCACGATGATGTACGAGAAATCCATCTTCCCAGAATGCTGGAAAAGGAGCTTGATAGTCCCGCTGTACAAAGGGAAAGGAAATCCGCTTGAGGTAGATAACTACAGAGCAATATCGCTTCTCCCAGTTATGAGCAAACTTTTGACCAGTATCCTAAGAGGGAGACTCACTACGTGGGCAACCCAAGAAGGAGCAGTACCGCAAGAGCAATTCGGATTCATGAAGGAAAGGTCCACCATAGACTGCGTCTTAATTCTTTACACTCTAGCCCAGAAGACACTCAAGAAGAAAGGAAAGTTATACTGTATGTAGCTTTTATTGATTTTCAGAAAGCCTTTGACAAGGTGAGGAGAGAACTACTGTGGAAGAAACTGAGAGATCTGAGAGTATCAGAGAAGTTTGTTGGTACTGGATTAGGGTCAGATCTCATACTCACCCCATGGTTAAAGTGTGTTACGAGTTGCAAAAAAAGTGGGCAGAGGGCAACCAAGACTCTTGGGGAAAAGATATATCATAAAAGGAATATTAGATCGGCTAGGATTCTCCTATGTGTGGCATTTCGGACCAGGAGGAAACTGGTTTTTAACGGAATGCAAAAGGAGATGCATGGATATCAGCTCCCAGCAGCAACGAGCAAAAATGCAAGTTAAACCAACATTGAATATACTGCAAAGAATGAAGACCTGCTTTGGCCCGGAACAATATCTAGAAAGATACAAAGGATACAGACTGGCTTTTGCTCTGCTAAGGTTAGGGACCTGGAAGTGGCAAACAAAGACCGGAGTAGGAGGGATTTCCGTCTGCCCTTGGTGGGAGGAGAAGGAGACCGAACTGCACATTCTATCTGAATGTGCAGGATACGAAGATTTGAGGAGAAAATACCCTTTAACCTGGAACCATGACGACCAAAGCCGCTACGAACAACTACACTACATCATGGGGAAGGAAGAAGGTCAGCTGATGTGCCTTTTGCGAGAAATTTGGCGGAAGAGGGAAGAAAAACTGACTAGTGAGAAAGAAACGGGAAACCATGTGACTCCCACATATTTACTAATTAATTTGAAAGAAGTGATTAAAAAAAATGAATGGAGCTTTGAAGTGCTGTATTATGTACAGAAGCACAGAAATAAACGTCAACGTCAACGATACAAGTTTCAATAAAGCTGCAACTAGTGGGAGTGCAGGTCCTGGGGTAGGTCCATGTACAGAATATTCTGATGACCCAGATGCCTCAGCATTGGACATGGAAACAGAATCATCCAAGTTCATATTGGCTGATCCTGGAACCCAAAAGAGGCAGAGAGATGCATTAGAAAAAGAGACAGTGTCAGATGAGGTTTTCCTTAGTAATATATGCAGGGAACTGGAAGGTAAACATAGAGCCTCAAAGTCCCTGACTGACTTTGTCGTTGATAGAATGAGCTTCATTGTTGAGCAAAACGCACAGAAGCTGGATGGTGTTGCAAAGTTTCAGACTGACGAGAAGAGGAAGGCTTTCTATGAAATTTCCTCCATTTATGTTCCCCCAAAGTACCAGGAGCTCAGCAATGGGAAGCATGGCTATATCATCCCTCTAGAGAAACTGCTCCAGAACCGGCTTCAAACTCAAGAGTTCTACTCTTGGTTCAGTGGTTCTGAGAAAAAAGTGAGAGAAGATGATATTTTGGGAGACCATTCATCAGGATCTCGCTTCCTTTCTCATCCATTCCTGAAACTCCACCAACAGAATGTCATTCTCATGCGTCTATATATGACGATGACATTGAAATTGCAAATCCCCTTGGCATGCAGAGACGAGGGAAGGGGAAATTGTGCTTATTTTACCTCTCTTTCTTGAACGTCCCACTTGTTCACAGCTCTCAGTTGAAGCACAAAACTACAAGTCTACAAGACCCTATAGGGTCTCGTAGACCTTGACTGTTGCGTGATCATTGACCAAACCGAGGGTTGCTACCGAAAACTTTTATTGCACTTGGAAATGCAGGGTACATTGAGCTGCGGGAAAATGATCGCGGAAGGGCAGGATGATTCCTTTTCATTCCGAGTCAGTGCTTCCAGGATCTCCTCGGCACCCGCGAAATCTGAGAAAAGGAAAAAAAAACATTTTAGAAACAATAACTTTTCAAATGTTTGAAAAATAGATGAAAAGCGCTACCACAACGTAAGTGTACTTTTTCAATAGAATTTGATTTAATCCACTATGAAATAAATGTAATGAAATCCTAACTGATCGTAATCAGGAAGCCATTGAGGATCTTTCAATAACTGAAGCCTATTGACGCATTTTTGGCATTGGCGATGAAAATGAACCCATATTAATCCAAGGAAATCGAGACACCAGGATGATCGAAAAAAAACATTACCTATATACAAGCCCACGGAATGTACTTCTTAGCAGAAAAGTGACATTTATTACTCCCTTCATCTTTTCCTACGTATAGTCGAAGAATCTATGAAATAACTAGACGCCAAGAGAAATGACATCATAAAGGCCGCATTAAAAAAAATGGATTTGGTAAGTTTCGGTTCGAATACTCGCTGAAGCCCCAAGAAAGATCTTACGAGTGGAAGCACGGCGGAATCGACTCGAGGGGCACTGGATGCCGTCCGCGGACGTTCAGTTGAACCCGCTTCTTCCCCGCCATCCGCGTTCGTCGTGTTCGCAGTCGCCGCTGGTGGACACGTCGGCGACCTTCCCGTCCCAGCACGGGAAGAAGACCGCCGCCTGTGACGGGTGGAGATGACACGAATTAGGAATTCAACTTGAGGTGTAATGAAAATATTGTGTGTAAATTACGTGTGAAAGTTATTTTTATTATTGAAGCTTCATGCAATCGAAGTGCGAATGCATGATTTGCATGCGAAGATAAGTGGAATCTCTTGCCTTTGCCGAGATGTCACCGGTCACTGCGTTGGCATTGGTCACACAGGATGTGACGGCCGTCGTGAACTGAAGGAAACGGATCGCATTTTCATTTCACCTGTCAATTCGATATTACTTTTTCGAGAGTGAACCGCGATCACTGACGATGGTCGAGGTCGTGTAGAAGCTGAGTATGTTCGGCAACGAGAAGAGCGAATCCTGGACGAAGCCCAGCTGGGTCATCACGCACAGCTTCGCCGCCGCTTCCTGCGGCGTGAAACAGACGCGAAATGAAACGGCCTGACGCGATGGGGAATCGGCGACACAAATTGCAAATAAGAAAGAACGAAAGGAATCCATGAAGACAAAGACGACGAAATTCCCATGCACTACGCAAAGAAATGACAGAACAAAACATGAGGGAGAAGTCACAAACCTGTTGAAGAAGGTAAGGAAAATACGCAGAGATGCTCAAGGCCACGTTCTCTGTGGAAAAAAAAAAGAGACAAATGTATACCGAAGAAAGCATCTGAAGAACAATTATTAATAGAGTGCCTCCTTTTCACGAAACGGCAAAATTGCAATAGGAAATGGAAGCAGCTAGGTTGGGACATTGGGCGACGTGGACTTGGAACGAGGAACGGTGTGAAGTGAAGTCATGGGGGGAGGAATATATAGGGAAAGTAGGAGCTCCCAAGGGCAAAAAAAAAAATAGGAAAAAAGTGAAAGTGTCAGGTCTCACTGGCTGCCGTGTTGTTCGCATAATAGAGTTTGTGGTAGAAACCGAGGATCTCACGCTGGAGTCCCCCGCCCAGGACCGAGTCGCCGTTCGGGTTCCCCGTGGTCGTCGTCGTGGTCGTCGACTGGCGACAGGTCGTCATCGCGCTGCGGAGCGACCCCGAGCTCTGACGGAAGAGACCAGCGCGTTTTTCACTGCAAATCCGAGACGGCTAGGAAGATCCGGGTTCTTTATGCTTACCCGACGCTTGAGTAGGGCTCCGTAACATCCCGCTCCATCTGGCGTAACAGGAACAATAAATTTTCTATCTCAGTTAGTTCAAAGCGAGAAAAGTAATACCACATATACAACATGAAAAGTTATGGTACATGAGCGATAACCGATTCAATTGCACAACTTTCATCGGTGTAAAAAATGATTGTGACTCACGTAGAGGCCCATCTTCTTCCCAGTCTAAGAAGTAGAAATATTCGGGATCATCATTCACCGATCTGTTTAAATACGCACCATCAGACCCATCCGAAAGGAAGGCGTTTGAATGTTTGAATGTTTGAATCTGACCTTGAGCTGCGTCCACCCGGACGAGGACGAGAAGAAAGGCCGCACCGAACAAGAAATTCATCGCGAGAGAGAAGCCGGAGAATCGGTGCTGGGCGGGGCCGAGACCGGCTTTATGTATGGGAATGCGACGCAGTTCCGCGTTCAGTCGCACGGTTAGAGTCGTAGGACCGTCAATGTCAATGGGCAGAAACCCTTGGAAGGTGGGGAATGGCCTTCGTTAGATGAGAATCTCTCTCGGTGCGCATCGAAGGGATCGCAGCCGGTTTGCGGTTGAAATTAATTCGTTGATCGGGCGTGATACGGCATTCTTATGGACTCATTCGTGATTCCCCGACCGATAGAAATATCGAGTGACTGTTCATAAGTAATTATTCAATCATATTCAGCCATACCCGTCGACCTCTTCTCATTCTGACACGTTTCCGAGAGTGGGGAACTCTATGACGAATGAAGGAAACCGACTCTAATGCTGAGAAATACACCGGGGTCGTCTTTGGGGCTGTCGCCAACGACACTAAAATAAGAATATTGTTGAAGAGCTTTCGCATGCGTTAAAACTACTTTAAGATCCGTCTCGTCCCGCACCGACTGCTCCACTTTCAGGGGCCACATGAGGGGCCATAAAGGGCCACATGAGGGGCCATAAAGGGCAACATGAGGGGGCATAGGCTATTCGAAAATCCTCGACGATAATCCCATCCAGGATCGACCGATAATTTATACGCCGTTCGGTCGAATGAAGAAAATGATCCAACTCGAAACGAAAGGAAATCGACGTCGTCGCAAAACCGGTCGGCGCGATCGAAACGACCTTGACCGAAATCAGCCCAAGAAATTCGAAACGCAAACACGTACGAAGGAGGGTAATGAAGCGAGACCGGGATACGAAATGCCCTTTGTGCGTCCCGCGTAAAAAGGACAAGGTCGAAGGATGGACGACGACTCTGACTAGGGGGAAGGGAGCGGACGACGTGCGAAGTCGCCAGATATATCGAAAGGAAGCAGGGAAGACTCAATTCCATCCTGAGAGAGCGAGATGCCCTGAAGAAGTCCCAGTCCATCCAGGGAGATGCCACCCGCTTCCGAAACGCTAAGGATGTGAAGACGGCAGATCGAGGACAAAGAGATGCACGATGGGAGGAGAAACCGCTTCACGGCCAGCATCCCAAGATCATGGATAAACCATCGATCGACTCTGACGTCAGCTACAACTGGCTGAAGGGACTGCTGAATGCCGAGACAGAGCAACATCCTAGCCATTCGGGACCAGTGCATTAGAACTCGTACTCGCCTAATTCTGAAAGACACGGCGAAGGATGCTGGCCGTGCCCAAGGTTGCTGTACGCTGGAGTGATAGTGATAGTTCCAGTGATATTTCACACTCCAG